TTGTTTAATGCGCATTTAATCAAAAATAAACATATATCATTCGTACTATTACCTTCTAACCGACCATAGAGTACACACTGTCCATTATTCATTGTCCACATCGGTACATATTTATCTAATTCACACATAAAATTTTTATCCCTAAAACTAAAACAATGATCACCGTCAAGTAACTCTCTATGAAATATAACTCTATCTGGGTAGAGTTCACCATTACCACAAGAAAAGTCTTTTCTTGGTAATAATAATTCATCGCAATTAAAATCTGGTTTAAATCCACAAGTGTTAAATACAATATGAAATTGTGATAAGATTTTATATTGTTCATCAGAACGATCCATACAATCTATATCACCATCTAAAAAGAATTCTTCATCAATGCATTGTCCATTTGCACATCGATATTCATTCGGTTCGCATTCATTATATTCTAATAATTCACAATTATTTTCGTCCAAACCATCAATACATTGTTGTTTACCATCACATATGTTTCTCCAATCAAGACATAATAATCCAAAACTACATGTTAAAGTTTCGTAGCATGTTCGGTTCCCAACATATTGACTTCCCAAATAATATTCCAATTTTAAACTAAACTGATGTTCAATTGTTTCTTCAAAACTTGGATTACTCATAAAATTATATTCACAAAATTTACCAAATGTACCAACTTTTGTACAGTTGCATAAAAAATTATTTTTACCGTAATCATCATAATTAAATGCATTATGACGCAAGCTAAAAATCAAATACGTTAAACAAGGGATAAAAGAAGTGAGATATTGCCTGTATTATACTTTGCCTCATAGATAAAGCGGTGTTCTTTTGTAACAAAATCATGATGAAGTTAACCATTTCTTTTCAAACATTTACGATCAGGTGAAAATAAATCAGTCCTCCTCTTCATTCAACAATTAAAAGTTGCTATTGGGATGAAAGAATAAATTTCTGCATCAAAGTACTCATCCGCCCTCAAATTCGGTCAAGACTTCTGGTCCGCTCTTTATATATCAGTTTCCAAACGCTGATTCTGTCCAATCTGAGAATGACGCAGATCAAAGTCAGGACTGAGTTTGGACTCGGTCAATCTTGAATTTTGATAGTAAAACACAGAAACCTTCAAATTTTAAGTAAGATTTAGCCAGAATTTTTCTTAAAATGTATTCTGCTGGGGCACTGGTTCGTGCTGATATGAAAACAGTGGTTCTCATCGTCATC